CGTCACACCACCGCTGCGAAGTACCGCGATTGCACACCACCACCTGAGCTACTTCGTCAGGCCCGCCGGTGGGTTAATACCGGACCAACTTTGTAGCTACCAACGCATATTTACTGCCTACGTCCCCTTCCATATTATACAGAAACTGTATGAAAGACTATGGTACGACCGGACCAATTGAAAACTGCTTCCGGCGGTCCTGTTCGTGATCGTATTGGATGTGAGCATGTTACGCGAGTCCTGTGTGTAGATCATACCATGCCATACAGTGTACACCCATAGTTACCCATAGTTTCACGATCAGCAGCAAAGCCGTTCTCTCTTCAGTTTCCAGTGGTAGTGAGGCCTAGACAAACAGTGAGCTGGTGCAGGGCCAATGCATGTGTGACCCCACAGTACACTCAGGTTCTTACAGCGTATGAACTTAGCTGTACTAGGCCGTACGGGTTTCCTTTCCCCGGCTGTAAATCAATGTGGGGCACTCTGGTAGTAATTGCTACATCCTGCTTTACTGGTACATGCAGTAGGATTTGGCGGCTATGTCGTATCCTGTTATGTGCGGCATTAGCCCATGTTCCGCTACTTACAGATGGCATACTTCCACTCGAGGAGAAGGGATGCTCCCAGCTCAGTAGTGCAGAACTTTGATACAAGTTGTCTCGCAAGGATATTCGATCTCTTTTTGAACGTACAATGTATGGTTTAATGTGAATGCCTGCACGCTTGGGAGTCCTGAAAACTAGTTTTGTCCATCTTCTTATATATAAGGTATCTGTTAAACATGCTCCTGGGTCTGTAGTTCTCAATCTGTGGCCGGTACTGTTATGTCCTCTGTGCACTCATCAGCGCAGCACAGGGAAATGACACTGAAACCATATTCCCGTAGTTCTGTCCTGTGATCTTAGCTTCGATCATATTTTGTTTAGTGCTTCTTGTACTACATGATCCTTGAGATTGTAGTTCTCTGTTGTGTTCTTTCCTGATTTTCATGGCTATTTCTTCCCTGCAGGTACACCAAGCAAGTAGTGGATGAGACGCTACGCTGCTCTGTCTTGTCTCCACTTGCTGCCCGCTACTTTGACGCGGACACGGAGCTTGGTGGCTACGAAATTCCTGCAAAGGTCAGCTCCACATTGCTCTATCTAAAACTGAGGATGGCTCACTAATGTAGACTTCCATTAAGAACTCGAAAGGCCCTCCTGACTTGATGGCTATTTTCCTCTAGCTCCGTCCGCTCTGTTCCTTGCACCAGTAGTCTGGCTTGTTCTTGAATTTCTGTTTTCTCCAGTCATTTTGCTTTCACCCTGTCCCTTTGAGCACCCCAGAGAAGAATAAGTTGCTTCTCCTCGAAAGCCAGAAGTTCACGTCTTTAGTTTACAATGGGGGGGGGGGATTATGGTTGCCATTGGTTGGGCTCTGTGAAGAACACATCTAGGTTCTCAGTCTTGGGTACAAGCACACGCAGACTGGTTTGTCATTGTTTACAAGAGATCATGTTGACGATGTTTTCCTTGGCCACTGAGTCAGTGACTGATTCTAGAGCACCGGTACGTGTGTCATTTGTTTTGTTCGCATTGAAGTGTCTAGGCCGTTTGCCTGTTCAGATGGCCATGCCAAGAGCTCCTGCTGATCATGTTTCGTTTGCCACAACTGAACGTCGCAGTACTTACTGCGTGTTGCTAGTGTGCGTGCGAAAGCCCATGTCCACAACTGGTTGCTTAGCAGTGGTAATCGGCCGACATGTCTGCAACTTAATTCTGTGGTTCAGATCAATGCTATGACTAACTGCTTGCTGCATTCTGTCACTTGTGCATGGATGTGTGCTTTCTCTTGTGCAGGTACCTGTTATTGCTGCAATCGGTGTTGTTCTGCAAGACGTAACCATTTGGCCACAGCCAGAACGGTATGTTTCTACAGTTTACTTGGACATCATTAGCATGGTTAGACCCTGTGTTGTGGGTGGGTGGGTGGACAGGGAGGTGTAACACAAGACCACGCAGAATTAGTGTGTTGCTTCGGGTCAATTCACTTCGCTGCAGTAGATTCAGTCAGCCAGGTTTTCTTCTTTCTGCAGTCAGTCGTGTGAAGCTTGGCATGCATGCATGCATGCCAAGCTTCACATGATTTGACCTCTGTATTGTTCCACGGTGGACCCAGAACTACCAGGGTCCCATCAGCTCAAGTTCTCCACTGTGCAGGCCAACAAATCTGAAGAGCTTGCATCTGCCATCGAGCAGTGAGGCAATAGAGCCATGATTCTACCCTCTTTTGTACTTGCATGACTAGAAAAAGTTTCAATTCTCTCATTGAAAAATATGTTCAGTCGGTTGACCTGGAGCACAGGACTGGGTGGCTTGATTAGTATTCTTTCTCCAGATTTGTACATGCTCAAACAGTTGTGCTATGTGGTTTTCACCATCAGGCATTCCAATCACAGGTGGAATCCTGATAATTCGAACCTCGAAATGCCAGGAAAAAAACTTCTAATTAGCCGGACATTCTAATTATCCAAACATGAACCCACAACACAATTATGTATATCAAAATGCTCTCATGGTCACGCAGAGTTGCGCTATGGACCTTAGACACAGATTTCACGGATACTGAACTGACCGGCACAGCCTGCTCATACAAACTGAACTGACTAGTACAGTGTACAGTGAACTTCGAATTACACTTTGCTAACTTCGAATTATCAGCACAAATCCCACACATTTTCTATGTAAGTGGAATCCGTGGAACTTCGAATTAGCCGGACATGTCTGGTTCGAGGTTCGAACTATCAGAAAAAAATTATGTGGGAATCATATTGACAGAAATCGGTCCTGGAAAAACTTCTAATTAAGCGGTATGTTCGAATTAAGCCATATTCGAATTATCAGGATTCCACCTGTACTGAATTAGCGAATAGCCATGTCCATTTGCCCTACGTCCAACATGTTTCCATAATCCGTACCAGACCCTGTGATTTGAAAATAGGTGGCGAGTGATCTATTGCTCTCCTCGCCTGTGTCAGGCGAGCTATAGGAGAGTGATCCAAAAATTCTCATTCCAACAACACAGCACATTATTGATATCAGTTTTTTTCGAGAAAAAATTCTGGATGCATCAGTGACTAGTGCAACTCACCTCGAAATGAATCGTCGATGGCTGTCTTCAAATTGTTCGCAGTCGCATCGCCGTAACCGTCTACATTCATCAGGGCTAGGGTGAAGAAAACCGGCTCGCCTTCCTTTACAACACGAACAAGCGCGAGTTCCTTCTCGCTTCTGGTTTTGCGGGCCTGCGATCCATCGCTCAACACAGAAAATGCAGTTCATGAAGAGATGATACTTGCGATCTTCTTCTGCATAGTGGCAGAACACAAACGGACGAATTATCTTGCCTTATGCGATGAGTCACAGTCCTTGATGAGCTTCACCCCGTTTGCTTTCTGAATTTCCACCGCGGGCACAGTTCCTGCGCACGGATCGATGAGTGCACTTGACACCATAGACTCATAGTAGAGTTGTGCTGCACTCCGAAAAGCGTACATGCGCATGCATGCAAAGCCAAAAATAGTTTCAGGCGCGCGACAAAAAGTGCACCTTCCAAGAAAATAAGGTGCGCGATGGCGAGTGAGAGCGATCGCTCGCCTCAAATTACAGGGTCTGCCGTACATACCAGTAGATGGTGTCATGAAAATGTGTACTTCGAAGTAGATTGTATTGAAGTGCAATGGCTTGGCGCAGGATAGATCACATTCCTCTTCATCTTCTCTTTTTTTCCGTGTTTCCTTGACTGGTGGTGAGATTTTTCCTGTTGTTCACACTCTCCTTCATATTCTTCCTCTCCGTGTTTGGGTGGGTGCCTGTGTGTTTGTGCGTGTGTCTTGATAGGTTTGATCCAGAGCGGTTTAGCCCGGAGGCCATCAAGAAGCGCTCGCCGCGCTCCTGCGAAACGTTTGGTCTCGCTGGACGACGATGCCCGGGATTCCAATACGCCAACACCCAGGCAGTAATCATTCTCAGTTTGCTGTGCCGACAGGTCTGCTTCAGCCCTGTGTCCGATAAGAAGATAGCAGTGAGTCGGGGTATCATATCTCGGCCCACTGACGACGTGGAGGTGACACTGAAGAAACGCTAAATCGAAAACAAAGACCGGCAGACTTGCTTTGCTCCTCGGCTAATCGTCCATGACCCAGCCGAGACTTGGCCAGCACTACTTCCAGCACTACGTCTTGATACAGAACAGTTGATCACAAGCCAGCCAACACACTGTCAACTGTCGACCTAAGGCTAAGAGTGCCCGATTGGTGTACTGCGTCTGTTACTATGATGACGCTAGTGACTGTGGCTACTCTGGCTTTGTGATCTCTAGCAATGGGCAGCGTGACACTGATGACAATCTATGAGTTGAGTACCCCGGTGGTGCTTGCTAGTGTAAATCGAAGTTCTGGGCAGCTTGGCATAGCACACGGCTCAGCAAGCTCTACTGAGTACTGATATCATAGTGATACAGTACTCTTCCTGTATGAGCCGGTGCAGACTTCTGCAAATTGTACTTCGAAGTACAGTTATTCCATCAGGAGGCGCTTTGTTGTGGCAGCTTCCTGTCTCTCCACTGCCAATCCTAGCTGCGTTCCAAACTCTTGTCATGCATTGTATCCTTTTTTTACTTACTCTGCTGCAGACTCTTACTCACTTCCAGGACTCTTTTTATTTTATTTTATTGTCACTGCGCTAACATCAGTCGTTGTCTCCTGCTACACATTTACATTTTTTGTCTTGAATTGCGAACTACCTGATTGCTAGTATTACTCAATCTGCGGACAGAATTACTAGTATTATGTATTGAGGCTCAATAGTGGTAGCGGCTTTAAGCTTTGGTGATACACGTTATCAGCTGACAGATCACCGGTATCACGATGATGAGCAGGTAGTCGAGTGTTGCTAGGGGCCTGTAGTATGGCATATCATGTCACTGAAGGGTAGGGGCGGGTTGTGTACTCAGCTTGGCCGTATGCGTGATGATGGGCCCTGGGCTGCAGCAAGACCCCCCCCCCCCCCTTACTTCCGAGGGGTATGCCGACGATTGTACATACATGTAACTCCTGGTGGCTTTTTGATGGTTTGGGGGAGTTTGATCTCTTTTTTTTTGCTGGAGTCAACATGAACCGATGGGAAGGGGGGGGGGGGGGGCTCTGCGTACAACTCTACCGGTCACCACCTTCCGAGCTGACCCGAGTCATCCACGGACAGTTTGGAACAGTCCACGCATACCGGTATCCAGCAAAATAACCTCCCTACAATATAGATCAGATTTTTCTCGTTTGCAACTCCCTCAAAATAATGGATACGTCCTTGACTCTGGCTTGAAATTTGACCATTTTGGGTACTTTGTAGCAGTACATGTAGATCAGCCTGGTGTACCGTATTTGCCTAATTGGGGAGGCCTCGAGCACCCCGAGGGGGACTGGATCATGGAGGAGGGCAAAATGACATCAAAAAATAATGACATCAAAAGTGCAATGTCCAATAATTATTTGCATGATTGATGCATTAATTTTGTTTCTATGGAAATGCCGTCGATATGGCGGGAAAATCTGCAATGCAGGCGCCTACATGCACTTTGTTACTTTTGTACACGTTCAGCTAGCTAGCTCAGCATAGCAAATCAGAAATTCGTATTGTAATGAAATCGTTTTGTCTGAACATTTGCTTTGGAAGTCAAGTAACATTAGTTCATCTTCTATCGAGAGTCCTGGCCTGCCCAGGCTGTGAAGCGACGAGAGTTACTATGTGATTTGTAACAGTGCAGTGGTACCATTTCTTGGATAATGGCGAGCAAAAGAAAACACGCTCCTGATGATAACAATGGGGCGAAAGTGGCTCGCGTGAAAACGGAGTCCAAATTCGTCGATGGCTCTATTCTGAAGTTGAAAGTTCGAGATTTTCTGTAAGCAAGATCCATTGGTTCATGTCTCTGGGAATCTTCGAGAGAGAAAGAGACAGCGTAGTCAGCACCAATTGTTTTTCTGCTTTCTCTGGTTTGTTACGATATGCAATTTCCCAGAACATACTCAGAATGTGTGTATGACTTTGGGCCTGGCCTGAACGTTCTGCTTGGACCTAATGGTGAGTGAAGCGTGCTCTGTTTCAGCATGCAATGATCAGCTCTGATGCTGACTTGTTCCTGATCATGAAAGCTGTGTGTGAGGCGCACGTTGATCGTGTAGGGTCACTTTCTCTGAATTAGCATGGTAGAGAATGCATTTCTTGGTGCTGAAGAGATACCTTTGGGCATTCTTATTAGTTTATTCATGATTCTGATAGTCGTATTGGATTCAAAGTTATAATTACATGCACATGGAATAGAGGTTACCATAAGCGATTGAAGTCAGGGTGGTGAGTCAGCGGAACCCGCTTGTGTGTGCTCCGTATGCAGCGTGAGCTGCTAGTGCATCACTGTGCCGTGACTTTGCCAAAGGATCTCAGCTGATGATGTAATGGCACAACGCACAACCTCTATGGCTCAGTATTCCTATAGGCTTACTGTAGGTCTAGTAGTAGGTTTTTCATTTTGACCCGACAAGACCATACGACGCTTGCAGATCACAGCACGAACAGTTCACCAGCCACACTCCACGAAAGCAAGTACAGGTCTACTCTCCATATAACGTAATCTCTGGGACCACGCAAACATTATGTTATATCGAGAGTTATGTTATGTAGAAAACCGTGTGTAAAATACAAGATGCACCTCAAAATGAAGGGTATTACAAGGCGGGTTCAACCGTGCAAAATTATACTTTCAAGTATACACACTGTACCACCATCGACATCAGATACCATCAATGCCGCAGAATATATGCACATAGGACTAAACTGGCTAGCTACGGCTACAGCTTGATTGTACCGCGCACGTGAATCTACGTTGTATCGAGAGTGTACACGTCGGCGACTGCGCCGTAGGGTGCGTTATGCCGAGGTTTACGTTATGTAGGACTAAACTGACCTAAACTGCCTTGCTACAGCTACCGCTTGATCGTACCGTGCACGTGAATTTATGTTGTATCGAGAGTGCGCACGTCGGGGACCGCCGTATAGCGTGTGTTATGTCGAGGTTTATGTTATGTAGGATTATGTTGTGTAGAACAAATTTTGTATGGGAGTGATGCTGTTTCGGCGCGGGATTTGATTTTTTTATGTACTAACGAGGTTTATGTACAAGTGAGAGTTGTTATATCGAGAGCAGACCTGTAGTAGTACTCCTGACAAGTCTTGTTTCGTTCCATAGAGATAATAACGGGGAACTCATCAGAGGAGAAGCAGTTGTTGAATGAAGGGGTTTAGCTGAATAATGCTATTTTATAGAAAAGATATTGGCACACTGAGGTGTAAACACTCAACTAACTCACATATGTGACATATCAACACAAAAGGAATAGTGCAGAATGGAGGTGTTCTGAACCCTACCAGACACAACTATCACAAGTGCTAAATCATTCACAATGAGAAGGAGAGGTACACAGGAATAGGTTGTGCTAGTTTACACGTCACAAATGGTACTGAGTTAGTGACAAAGATAGGTGAAAAGTAGACGCCAAGTGAAAGCCAACAAATCATCACGAACGTCTAACGTCACATCTGAAGATTGCTAGCGGCACAAGACAAATACTTCACAAACCTCGATAATTCAAATTCAGCCAGCGGTATAGTGAAAGGAAGGCTGCTGGGTGTGACATTGAACTGTGGGCTGCTGAGGCGACGTATCCATCCTGATCTTGACTGCAAGGTTGGCGTCTAACGCTAAAATCCGAGCAACAGATCAAATCCTTCCTCTGGTCAATGGCAGATTTCCTGGTCCAGGAGAAGTCATAATTCTTTGTGCCATCTTCAAGAGGTCCGTCAAATACAGTAGTAGTAGGTTTTTCATTTTGACCCGACGAGACCATACGACTGCTATTGACCAGAGGAAGGATTTGATCTGTTGCTCGGATTTTAGCGTTAGACGCCAACCTTGCAGTCAAGATCAGGATGGATACGTCGCCTCAGCAGCCCACAGTTCAATGTCACACCCAGCAGCCTTCCTTTCACTATACCGCTGGCTGAATTTGAATTATCGAGGTTTGTGAAGTATTTGTCTTGTGCCGCTAGCAATCTTCAGATGTGACGTTAGACGTTCGTGATGATTTGTTGGCTTTCACTTGGCGTCTACTTTTCACCTATCTTTGTCACTAACTCAGTACCATTTGTGACGTGTAAACTAGCGCAACCTATTCCTGTGTACCTCTCCTTCTCATTGTGAATGATTTAGCACTTGTGATAGTTGTGTCTGGTAGGGTTCAGAACACCTCAGTGCGCCAATATCTTTTCTATAAAATAGCATTATTCAGCTAAACCCCTTCATTCAACAACTGCTTCTCCTCTGATGAGTTCCCCGTTATTATCTCTATGGAACGAAACAAGACTTGTCAGGAGTACTACTACTTGCTTTCGTGGAGTGTGGCTGGTGAACTGTTCGTGCTGTGATCTGCAAGAGTCGGATGGTCTCGTCGGGTCAAAATGAAAAACATACTACTACTGTATTTGACGGACCTATTGAAGATGGCACAAAGAATTACTGTAGGTCTACAAATTTTCGGCCCATTCAAATTTCGGCCTCCCAGGGCTAAAGCCCATTTCGGCCACATTAAATTTTCGGCCTGTACTGCTGCTGCCTGTATACACTGTCACACGAAACCTTGCTGAACAAAATTTCGGCCGCAACGAATTTTCGGCCTAACATAACCAGTCCGAAAATAGCCGAAAATAAACATGCGCCGAATATTTGTTGACTTTCGGTACAGAATATCAGGGCTGCAGCACCGGGATTTCAGGTGGTCCGGTCCACTGGGATACTTGACCGGAAAGAACACTATTGATGAAAGCCTCCGTTCTGCACAAATTGTTCAGGCCAACTTTGTTGAAATGAGCGGCCTGACTGGGTGCTACGGCCCTGAGTCTGTTAGATAAATTGTAGATTTGTCGTTGTTTCCCTACAGTAAAGTGGCGCGCCCAAAAACGTTGTTTCCAAGGTGTTAGTCTGGGACATTCTTATTTATTTTTCAGCAATCTGGCTGCGTTCTTGTAGCACGTTCTCGGAAACGGTTTGTGCTGGATCACATGTATCCCAAAAGCTGCTGGAAGACCAACTCCGTCGTTCTTAGCGTAGGCTGTGGTGTTCTTAGCCTTTCAGGCTGGAAGGTCTTCAGCTCTACAGTCTTCGGCGCGTGACTACTGTCGGCTTTAAGGGGTCTCATGTGATTGCATAGTCCAGCCACAGACCTTCTGTCATGTGATTGCATAGTCCAGCCACAGACCTTGTGTCATGTGATTGCATAGTCCAGCCACAGACCTTGTGTCATGTGATTGCATAGTCCAGCCACAGACCTTGTGTCATGTGATTGCATAGTCCAGCCACAGACCTTGTGTCATGTGATTGCATAGTCCAGCCACGGGCCTTGTGTCATGTGATTGCATAGTCCAGCCACAGACCTTGTGTCATGTGATTGCATAGTCCAGCCACAGACCTTGTGCACAAAGTCTAACTATTACGGTAAAACCTGGTTTAAGCGACCACCCCACGGTGCAAGCAAAAGCGGTCGTTAAAGCCAGGTGGTCTTTAGAAACAGGTCCCATACATTCGTGGCATGTCGGATTGTGTACATACTTGTGCATGTTTGTACTTCCATGATTGTACTCATATTGACAGGTGCAGAGCATAGAATACTTTCGTGCAGGCAAAGCACACCTCACTGGAGCACATGCAACGTATCCTGCACTGTCACCTTGGTCACTTGTCACTTCTGTTGACTGCATGCGTTTGCTTCAGAGCGCACTTCAACCCTGTTGCAGTCAAACCTGTCCGCTATTTTCACACTTTTCGTTACTTTTGGTCGCTGTGTGCAGGTCCAATATGGCACTTGGTACACTAAAAGTCGGTTGCTGGTCGCGCAAGGCAGGTGGTCTCTGTATCCGGTGCAGTTTCTGTGTAGAACTGTCCGTGCATGGTAAAACGGTCGTTGAAAGTTGGTTGCTAAAACGAGAGGTCGCTTTAAATACACTAGGTTTTACTGTAGTATGAACGAATGTGAGTTCCTCCGTTTTTCCACGCCAATCGTCTTTGTGCCGTTGCGTGTGATGGTGTTTCTTTGCTCTGCAGGCACGGGGAAGTCGTCAGTCGTGTGTGCTCTGTGTCTGGGTCTGGCCGGAGCACAAAACCTGCTTGGCCGAGCGAGAGAGGTACGTGAGATGTGAACTCAATGCGAGTTTTTGAGAGTTTTTGAAAGTTTTAGTGACTGTGCCATCACCTACATTTTGACTGTTTGTAGTAGTGCACCTTGCCTTGTACAGTTAGTTACCAGTGCCCGGCCCTGCTACTCCAAAGGGGAAGAGGTGCTTTTGTATATTTTGTATTGCATTGTTTATTTACGGATTCTCCAGAGGTAAATGTATACCTATCATGGGAGTCTCTCCAAACCAATAGCGTAATGAAAAATAGACGGAATAAAACTCAAATAAAATCTGAGAATTTAAATCAAAGGGGAGGAAGAAAATCTATACTGTCGAGTATTACGATCATTAGAGCACTTATGATGAGACATGTATATTGGCCGTGCAAAGCACCGTGCCCAGCGTCCACATCGAGTTGCCAGTTCCCTACGCTCCTCCACTTGGTGCCGCGTGCCCCACTGGCCGCTGTGGTTTCCGGTGCCCGCCAAAGACGTGAAGCGCTGATCACAGTGATTGCTGTGGTTACAGCAACACTGCCTGGTCTGGCAATATGCATTCGGTCATGCACACACATACACGCGCGCACACGTACACACACACACGCGCGCGCACACACACATACACACGCACCCGGGCATAGCACACGCATGCACCGTGCCCAGCGTCCACATCGAGTTGCCAGTTCTCTACGCTCCTCCACTTGGTGCCGCGTGCCCCACTGGCCGCTGTGGTTTCCGGTGCACACACATACACGCGCGCACACGTACACACACACACACACACACGCGCGCACACACACATACACACGCACCCGGGCATAGCACACGCATGCACCGTGCCCAGCGTCCACATCGAGCGAGTTGCAGTTGCCAGTTCTCTACGCTCCTCCACTTGGTGCCGCGTGCCCCACTGGCCGCTGTGGTTTCCGGTGCCCGCCAAAGACGTGAAGCGCTGATCACAGTGATTGCTGTGGTTACAGCAACACTGCCTGGTCTGGCAATATGCATTCGGTCATGCACACACATACACGCGCGCACACGTACACACACACACACACACGCGCGCACACACACATACACACGCACCCGGGCATAGCACACGCATGAAACCTTGCAGAAGGCCACTTTTCCATTGTAGCAGAGTATTGTAAATGCACTAGGATACTTGACTGCGCAGGCTGGGTGCCAGTAACAGCTAGCCACTTTAGTGGTTTGACTTTTGATTTGCGGGAGGATTGTCGAGCAAGTGTGTACTGCATGATTTCACCACCATCTGTGTTGTGGTGATGGGACCAGAGTATTCCTTAGCTTGTGCTGTAGCGTTCAGTGGTAACAATGGCTCTCAGAATGTGAACTAAGATTGTTATATATTCTTGCTTGCCTTGCTGCTGCTGCTTTTGCTACCGCCATTGTTGGGATGATGCTGTTGTGTGTGGGAACCTAGATTGGTGATTTTGTTCGTCATGGGCAAGAAGAAGCCTGGATTCAGGTTGATGTGTAAGTCAGTAATGTGTTGTGCTCTGTGATAAGTTTTGTGATTTGCACCGGAATACTTGTATGCGTGTCAAATAGCCACCAGGCATCTCACTGTTTGACTAGATTGCAGCCGAAAATATAGAATTGAATAGTGGAGGACACTAAGGTGAGGTAGTATCTTGAAAGTGTATTCTTGGTGTGCTTGTGTTCTGTGTTCGCGTCCGTGTGCTTGTGTGCATGTGCGCTGCACACATGTGCCCGCGTGCACACGTGTGTGTGTGTGTGTGTGTGTGTGTGTGTGTGTGTGTGTGTGTGTGTGTGTGTGCGTGTGCACCCGCCACCGAAGACAGAAACACTAGCTGTGTGTAGAACGGTCCCCTTTCACCTCAATTACTCTCCTTGTTTCTTTTTCCTTTCTCGCTGTTGTCTCCCGCTTCTGGGAGCGACGTGGCCATTTTGTGGCAGTTGTACATAGTAGTAGTAGTGTGTGTGTGTGTGTGTGTGTGTGTGTGTGTGTGTGTGTGTGTGCGCGTGTGTGTATATGCATACACGACCATGTTTGTACACTATAGGTTCCGTCAGCAGGGGAACATCAGGTTTGAGCGTCATATCAAGCGGGAAAACAACATCTCTCACTGGAAGATTAACCGTCAGCCGGCCACTCTGAAAAAGGTTTGTTTTGTACTCTTACTAGCATATATTATACACTTGTTGTCCTTGGTGTTGGTTCAAGTGCGACATAGTGCTTTGCTAGGCAGCATGCTGAAAATTAACCGGTCACTGGAGAGCAAATAGGCTGGCAAGTACCGTTGATTCTCCCCTCACACGCACACACACACACACGCCCCCCCCCCCCCCCCCCCCACCACACACACACACTATACGATACGCACCCACCACACACGCACACACAGACCATGTTGCTTTCGAGCTCGTTTTATAGCGCGGACACATAATCAGATTTTAGGCTGTCCTAGTGGCAAACACTACATTGTGTCCCTGGTGGATGGTCGGCGGGTTGAATGCCCTGACTACAATGCTGTGCCCTGGCTACACTGCTGTGCCCTGACTACAATGCTGTGCCCTGACTGCAATGCTGTGCCCTGACTACAATGCTGTGCCCTGACTGCAATGCTGTGCCCTGACTGCAATGCTGTGCCCTGACTACAATGCTGTGCCCTGACTACAATGCTGTGCCCTGACTACACTGCTGTGCCCTGACTACAATGCTGTGCCCTGCATGCTATGAAGAAGAAGAGTACAGCAAACCTGTCAAGGTGACCACTCGGAGATAAGGCGACCACCTGTCCCAGAAGACCACTGCAACCAACCAGGACCAAGGGATGATTTTTCCAGTCAAATGACCCTGGATAAGGAGACCACCTGGTAGCAGAGACCCGATTTTGAAGGTCCCTTGAGCGGTCGTCTTAGGCTGGTTTCACTGTAGTTGTAGAGCAGGGGCATTGTGCTACTGTTCTAGTATTGTGGAATTATAGTGTTTATTTGTGTTTTGGTTGTCTTGTTGCTGTGCTTAGGTGCAAGAAGCCGTAGCTCAGCTGCATATCCAGCTTGACAATCTTTGCCAATTCCTGCCGCAGGTACTGTGTTTTTGTGTGTTAGAGTGTGTCCCTGCATGTATGTGTTGGGGTGTGGGTGCGAGTGGGTCTGGTCTTTTTCTTCGGCACTCCTTGCAACTATCATACCAGCGCTTTGGCCGAGTGGTTGTGGGCTTGCCTGCGAATCACAAGGTCCCGAGTTCGAGACCCGCGCTGGGAGCAGGGAGCGTGTACTGTGCTAGCAAATGCGGTGATGCATGCGTGAACCACTTTACATGCAGTGAACTGCGCCGACACCCACGGTCAACTGGGTACTCACTACTCGGAGTGAGGGTAACATGGATGCAGCTAATGAGGTTAGCCCCCTTGTCGGGCATTGGTTGTGAGACTTACCACCTCACCCTCGCCGTTAGGCGCTGCATCTGCCATCCTGGTAGCACAGGCATGGTGGTGGCCTGGCACATGCGAAACTTCCTAAGCTGGTTGTGTTTCTCAACGCAATTGTATAGCCGGTGGTAACGCGGACGTGCAAACTTTACTTACTTTTTTACTCCTTGGAACTATCAGAGTGTGTGTGTGTGTGTGGGGGGGGGGGGGGGGAGGAGGCGTGCGTGCGTGTGTGTCTGTGTGTGTGATCATATTCCATTGTGACGTTGCTTTGTTGATGCTGAAAAACAAGTGTAGCAGGTATGTGTTCTTCTCACTGGCTTGTAGAGAGAGAGAAATGACACAGGTCTACTGGCTCTAGAAGTTTGCACATGTTCATGCATGTGTCTTGTCATAATCCTCACCTACACCAACTGGTGTTGATGGGTCTTTCTCTGCTTCTTATCTGACAGGACCGAGTTGTTGATTTTGCTCGACTGTCACCACCAGAGCTCCTGAAGGCGACGGAAAAAGCGGTAAGACCTCTTCCGAAGCATGTTTTGCTGGCACTCTGGGAATTTTCTTGCTTCATGCGAACATACTGTCTCACCGACAAACAATGCCACTAATTGTTCACTTGAAAATATTGCAAAGGGCGAGTTTATCACATCTCACTTGAAAATATACGCCTGAAAGAACCCATCTTCGTTTTGTTTCTCGGTCCCTTGCTCGGCTCTATCTGTGATACTAATGTCACGTACTAGTTTTCGCCCAAGAGGCAACTTATTGCCTCGCTCCCGGATCCTTTCCAGCCATTATGCTGCAGCGATGAACCAGTGGGCCAGCTGTTTGAAGATCAGCTCAGATTGTGTTGCGAGTGCTGTGTCTTGACTGTCATTTGTAGACAGCAAACCATTTGACAATGGTGTGTTTGTAAGTGTCCAGGTTTTTTGGGGGGGGGGGGGGGGGGGGATCTGTCTGGCTTTGTGTCACCGCACCGAGGAAGGTTTGGCTGGTGTCACTACGCCCCACGCACAAGATATGGCTTATCGTGTCAGTTGTGTTGATACAGGAGGAATGTATTCATTGGACAGTTTGCTACTCTAAAACTCTAGGCTGGATGAATGTATTGGACCTGGAGAGCACTATAAGTGATGCTCTTCAGGCACAATCTTGGATGAATGTATTGCCTTTTTTTGTCATGATGCAAGCTTATTGTTTTTGTGCATTGTGTGTGTGTGTGTGTGTTTGTGTGTGTGTGTGTGTGTGTGTGTGTGTTCGTGCGTGCGTGTGTGTGTCGTGTGCGGTGTGCGCTTTTTGTTGTGCTATCTCACCTGCAAGCACAGGTCGGAGATGCGTCGATGTTCAATAATCATGAGCAGCTGATCGAGTTGAGGAAACGGGAGAAAGACCTACAGGTAAGGCGGTGCTAGCATGCAGGCCCTGAGCTTGACTTGTGTGATATTGTCCCCTCCTACATTTATATTATTATCAGCTTTTTCACGTTGACATCACCAAGCAAACTTGGCTAGTCTTCACTTCCTACATGTATGGACCTACCAAAGATCGTGCTTGATTGTTCCGACCCGGAACAGGATCATTTGGACCAGGTGTATTTGATTGGTCTGCGCTGGTTCTGGAGAGTTTAGAACAGGGGTGTTTGATTGGTCTGCGCTGGTTCTGGAGTGTTTAGAACAGGGAGGGGTGTTTGATCGGCCTGCATGGGCACTGGAGTGCTCAGAACATGTTCTGGCAGGTCAAGTGGCTAACATTGGCCCAACCAATAAACTGTGATTCGTTTGGGTTTGACTGCCATCTACGTACCCAGTTCACTGAGATGCTCATGCTAAGTGAACACACTGCATTCTGTGCCTGGCTGATCATCTGTCACATGATAATACCTCAGCAGCTTTGATCATATACCAGTTTTGGAGATGTCCTAGATAGGACATCCCGGAACCCAGCATGCATCTATGCTGTTCCCATAGTAATCGTGACACGTGACTCAAAACTTTGTGTCGCATGTGAGGAAGATGAACATGTCGCACTCAAAACAAGCGAGTCGAGATTCGTATCTTGGCTCTTGCCTTCACGAATTCTACTTTCTTCGTTTTGGAGTACGCCTGGACGAAGGAACTGGCAAGCGAATTGTTTTCGTCGCATTGAAAATTGCAAGTGCACAAGAGGATTGGCAAAGCAATTTGTGTTCGCACTTTCAGCAGAGCAGTAGCTGCTGCTGCGATGACGTTTTTACTTTCGCCATTGGTTTCAGGCAGCAGAAGGGTCTGGCTGGAAGCGATGGCGATACGTCCATGGCCACCACGCCCAATGGGGCATGTCTTCGGTTGATGTCCAAAAAGACCGTCCAGGGCCCAGTTCTAGCCAAGAACTGTCTTATCCAAGAAATCAAAAAACGCCAACAGCAAGCTATGACCAAATAATATCTTCCAGGCAGTAATTTACGGGCCTAGTGCTTGCTGCCTCGTCGAACGGCCCATGCGCAATGGGTATCATGATGATCACTTGAACTTCACGAGTCCTCTGCAGTTTGAATGATCGTTCTACGTTGAGTTTGAGCTGCAAGCCGAAATAATTTGTGGCAGAAGGTGGATTGCCGTTTCGTAGGCACAATGAGGCGGCTTGCAAGGCGCATGCAGGTATCATTGTTGTGCCTGTTTCTTCCTGGACACATTGGATCGACAGAGTGGACTCAGCTTTCCAAAGAGCCCAAGATCGTAAGAATCAGCGACTGGTGAGTGAAGTTATAAAATGTTCGATCCACCTGAGTGGATCCAGTGCTTCCGCGCACACAAGCACTGGGGAAATCAGGCAAGTTTTCGTGGCACATGCTGGGGGGTGAAAGGGCTAACGAGGAGACATCTGCCGTTAAAATAGAAAACGTTATACCGGAATCGATACGTATACTGTTGGTAGTGAGTGTTGAGAATGAGTGAGAATCGTTACCTTTGGTACGCTCAAACCGGTCAATTTTAGGAAATCGTTACCGGTGTACTTTTTTGCGGCTCGTTAGAATAATGGCTTTTACAGTAGACCATGGTTGTATGTGAATGCCATCTGATGTGTGCTGTTTGCCTCATTCCTGTCCAGGTGAAAGCCTGTCGGAACACTGAGGAACTGGACCGTCTTCGTCACCAGAACTCACTGCTGGACCGTGATGTGCAGAGGTATCAGGAACGGCAGCAGTTCATGCTTCAAGTGAGAGACTTGGAGAACAAACGGCCATGGGTGGTAAGTGTGATGGGATGTGCTTATATGATCATTGATAGCATTGGTTCAACTTTGGCAGCCAAGTACTCCTGTTGCTGCTGCTGCCTACGAGTGTTGTTATTACTGCAACTCTCTCTCTCTCTCTCTCTCTCTCTCTCTCTTCTCTCTCTCTCTCTCTCTCTCTCTCTCTCTCTCTCTCTCTCTCTCTCTCTCTCTCTCAGTTCTTTCCACTGAGAAGAATTGTCTTGTTTTCCATGGTGTGTCGGCCTTCAGGAGTACGAGGAAGTTCGGACAGAATTCTCCGAGGCTCGCCAACTTGTTAAAGATGCGAAAGGTCACTTGGATCAACTGCGACAGTTGCATGAACCCATGCGGATTAAACAGGAGAATGCAAAGAAGCGTGAGAAGCAGCTGCAAGTAGAAAGCAAGCAAGCGGTGAGGTGGTGTATGTGTATGTGTGCGCGTGTGGGTGAGTCTCTCCCTGCGCCTGGGTGTACATAGATCTGTGTGCATTGCATGTGATGTTGTTTGGTAACTCGTTGAAGGTGGTTTCACTTCAAAGCAGCAGGACTGTAATGTGCTCATGTACTTGCCCATGTACGTGCGTGTGAATGTGTCCTTTTTTCTTTTTGTGTACGTGCACTTGAATGTCGCTCTGCAGGAGAAGCTGGTGGAAGGTGCCAAGTCGAAGTGCATGAGAATATCGCAAGACCTGGAACAGCTGGACGAAGAGGTACAGTTTGTATTGGCATGCCATTTTCCTACCATGAATTGTACTTCTAGGCTGCTGATGGCATCTCTTCTGATGTATGGTTGTGGCTGAATGCTGCATGGTAATGCTGGGAGACATGACCAATGTGCCCAGTGCTGGAAGGATGGCCATGACATACGTCTGAGCTAGGCCCAGGTGTGCATCGTGTTTAATACCCTGTGTTGTTGGCTTTTTGCCAAGTTTTTGGTGTAAAGCAGCTGGCTGTGTGTTGTTTCGAGTTTGATGCTGAGCGCTGAGCGTGCATCAGCTCTGCATACGAGTACAGCTGCAGCTTGCGAGGCCTGTGCTGCGCCGTGCACGTGCTGTGTGCCATGAATGTGGTTGTTTCCTGAATTGATGTAATCGTGTGCCTGTGTGCTGTAGATGTCTGAACCAGCACAACGGCTTGATACTGCACGCAGACAAGAAGCAGATCGGCAGCAAAAGTCAGTCTTTCACTCACAACTCCTGCCATCTGTACTTGTTTCCTCGATATCACTTGGCCTCCTTGCAAGTGGGTGTGTGTGTGGGGGGGGGGGGGTGCGTGTTTGTGGGGGTGTTTGTGCGTGTGGTGCGCGCATGTGTGTGCGTGTGTCCAGGAGGTGGGGGGGGGGGGGGGGGGGGGATCTTTTTTTCTCCTCACCTGTGATATACGCTGTACTTACTGGTATTCACTTTGAAGTAAGTTAAACACAGCAGGCGTGTGTGCCTCTGTCTTCATGGTGTGCATGTGTGCCTCTGTCTGCATTGTGTGCATGTGTGCCTCTGTCTGCATTGTGTGCGTGTGTGCCTCTGTCTGCATTGTGTGCGTGTGTGCCTCTGTCTGCATTGTGTGCGTGTGTGTGCCTCTGTCTTCATTGTGTGCGTGTGTGTGCCTCTGTCTTCATTGTGTGCGTGTGTGCCTCTGTCTTCATTGTGTGCGTGTGTGCCGTGGTCTCTCAGGGTTACAACTGCTGAGCAACGGATTGAGCAGCTGCAAAAGGATATAGATGAAGTTGTGTCACCGAAGCAGCTGAAGGTACATCTACATGTGTTTAGCTGTGGCTATGTGACTGCTTGAGCTAGGCAGTCCATCCGGGAACGACCACCTGTGTGCCGGTGTGCCTGTGTGATGGGGAAAATGTTTGATCTTCGTGTATCTGAAGTGGACAACATCGGAACTAATGTCATGTCACCGCCTTTCTCTTCTGCTGCGCCGTGGTGTGTGTGTGTATGTGTGTGTGTGTGCGCGAATGTGTGTGCTTATGTGTTTGACACGAAGCCACAACTGCATGAGGCCACTGCTCGTTTACGCGATGTCAACACCAGAGTGATGCGCCTCCAGCAGCAGCAGACCACTCTGAGACAGGAACAGGAGCCTCAAGCTCAGCAAATTGCAAGTAAGTGTGCAAGGCCATGCGCATGTGCCGTGTATGTCAGTGATGGTGCTCCTGCTGTTGGGCATCATGAACCCTTCAAGACCCCCACTGGCCTGCGCACCGGTTCATGGCTGTCTGGAATTCGACTGAGTTGGGTTCCGCCCATAGGGCCATGCCGTAGATCTGCTTTGTTCCCATTTGACAACGTGGGGCTTTCTGGAAGCTCTTGTTCTAGGCTATACAAAGAGCTCATGATCAGTACCACGGCTAGCATCGGACCAGTATCAGAGTATCATGATCCAGCCTTCTTCCTCAATATTCCTTGTCATGCTGCCATTTGCCATGTTTGGTTGATAACACTCTGACTCCAATGGGTTTTTTTTAAACATGATAAGTCGACGCTGCGGCATGCTGGCAGCAGCCATCCATCAATTGCATGGGCGAGCAGAGGGAAATTCCCAGCCCATGCTCTTTCTGAGGTACACAAAAGTTGTTCGATCGCGGCAAACATTACGAGTGGCATATCTTGGGATAATGACTTTGTAGACCTACAGAGGTCGGGTTTGTTCGAGTCGACAGCTGTGTTTTTCCGCTTCTGTCATGCATTATGCGTATACAGTAGTGGTGGTTGTGTTGTGAGCGCTGCTCTTGTTGTTTTAGAACCGCCAACCCACTGGGTGACTCGCACACCGTGAATATCAAAGTCAACATCTTTGCTTTCGTGTTGTGTTCACTCTGTTCTGCGTTCCTCACTGTCCGTTATACTTTTGATAGCTGTGGAGAAGGAACTTGGACGTCTGGAGGACGTCAGCAATCGCCGGTTCCAGCAGCTACGCCAAGCTGACCGGGACACGTTTAACGCCGTGCAGTGGCTGCGCAGTAATCAGGATCGCTTCAAGCAGCATGTCTTCGAGCCAGTCTTGCTTGTGGTAAGATCAAGTATATGCGCATACACCAGGGAGTCGCAGCTTCGGGAGAGTGGGCGTTATACTGGTCGGGCTTATATGGGTTTTTACGGTACTCGTATTTGAATGTAGGTACAGGCAGAATCTAGATAATTCAAATCCCAAGTTGGGGGGGGGGGGGACCTTCGGATTATCCGGAGCAGACTAATTACCCAAACACCCACAACAAACGTATGTCAAAATGCTTGCATTGGCACGCCATATTGAATCATGAGGATTCCACGTGTACAAAATGCTAGTATATGTACCATAAAAATCCCCCCCCCCCCCCACACACACACACACGAATACTGTGTCACTTGCCAGCTGAGTTTTCGGAGGGGGGGTTAGATTACGGCTGCCAAGTGGAGTACTTGTTATAAAAAAAAGCAGTGTTGCAACGAATAGCGAAATCACGAACGAGTATTCTAACGAATATGCACAGTACAAACGAACGGATATTCTACCCATGCCGACGAGCCCATTTCAGCACACTGTGCTTCCTTGTTTATTTTTTAGCTTTCTTACCTTTCTTTCTCATCATATACTTCAGCCAGCCACATAGAATATACACTGATCACTCTCACTTGGAAATTAAACTTGTGGAATAAATAAAATAAATAATGGCACGAGCAAGAAAGAAGAATAAACTGCTAGGATACCAAGGTAGGTACTAAGTGCAGAGCAATCATGGAGTCAAGAGTGAGCTGCAAGTTCGGAGACGTACGAACAGGATTGTGGCCCTCATTCCTCATCACTATCAACCGAGTCCGATGAAGTGGCACGTAAAGCATGGGATCCCCCCGGAAGCTACATTGCTGTGCTGGAAGTACCCAACTGGTTTTCTGCACTGGGCCAGCAGCTTGGAGATGGCAGGCATGTCAAGGGCATGTCTAATGGCAGCTTGGAGTCCAACGGCATGCACGGGCTACAGTGTGCAGGCCTGGCAAACACTTCTCCAGCTCGCGACCTGCAGCCACCATATTGGCTGCTTGGTCGCTGACGATACCAGTCAGCTGCTTGTTACGGAGTTGCTGTAAGAGTGCCTGAGTTTGCTGCACTACATGAATTGCTGTGTGATGCTCAGGAAAAGGTGGCGTGTCCAACACAACACAGCAGAGTTCCAGTCGGAGTCGATGAAGTGACCCGTGTACGTGGCATACAAAACACTCCTTGATGATGACCACATGTCAGTAGTGACGGCAATTCCGTCGATGCGATGCAAGACTTGAACCAGCAGTCCGTGCCGACGGCCAATGATCGCCATCATGTTCGTTCGACTCGGGACTTTATGCTCACGTTTGAGTAGTTTCGGGAGCTCGACAAACCCCGGATCGGTGATGATTGACGCGGGACGCGGGGAGTCAGTCACCCACTCGGCTAAACGGCTCGTAATATCCGCCTTCCTCTTCTCGGTAATCGTTTGGGACCCAAGAATTGGGACATCACAACGGAACTTTTTGCTGCAGTTTGCTGTTTCTGACTTGTCGATGGTGCTGCGCTGTGCAAGCGCTGCAAGTGCTCACGCATCGACGTTTTTGTTGAGCCGTTGTATTTTAGCAACTTATTGCAGAGCTTACTTTTGACTTTCGTGCCGTCACTCACTTTCTCAAAACTCTCCCACCCAAAGCTAGCTTTACGATCCGACATCACGAATTTCTACTGACTCGAAGCTAAGCAAAGTGGACGGATACAATTCGAAACTAACCGGGAACTGCTGCAAACTACGAAGAAGAACAGCAGTATTTCTTGCGCAGGTGCAAGCTACAAACGGCGAGTAAGTCGAACTGGTCAGAAGCAGCGGCAAACGACAATACGACGACAATGTCGTTTGTTGCTCAGTTGCAGTGACTGTTGCACATTATACGATGCAAGAGCACGGCGAGCGCGCTGCGACGAGCGGGTTCAGCCTTTTGTACTGAATGTTGTGCGCGAAGTGTAGCATTTCGAATATTCGACTTCTGACTCACATGTTCGAATATTCGGTGCAGCACCAAAAATCGAAGATGTTCGAATATCCGTTGCAACACTGAAAAAAGTAAATTATCGTGTCCGTTCCTGGGGGAACTCGCGACAGCCGCTAACGCCCGGTAAACCTTAGTGGCAGATGCAGCGGCTAGCGGTGGGGGTGAGTGGATAGGACTTACAAGTTACAATCACCGGCACAAGTGCCGAAAGCCCCATTAGCCGCATACATGTATAGCCCTTGTGCCTGGACACAAGCTGATGCCACTTTACAGATACATGTAGAAATTTGAATTTTGACAAAGGCGGAACTGAGGGAGTAGGGAAGGGGAGGTGTTAACGATGCTGCTTTGCCGTGCCGTTGGTTCTGCCCTTACATTGACTATGGGAACACCTGCCGCACTTGACTAATTGCGAAAGTTTTTTGTTGTCGGTAGGTCAACATGAAGCGGGCGGAAGATTCGTGTTTCTTTGAGCAGGTGGTGGGCTATGGTACGCTCATCACATTTGTCTGCCAGAATGACGATGATCTGAAGCTCTTCTGTCAGCTTGTAAGTAAATCTACCTACTGGAGTCCCATGTGAATGCTGCTGCTTCTGCT